TCCATTGTGTGTACAGAGCACACTTTCTTCACCCAGTCACATGTTGAAGGACATTTAGGTTGTCTCCGTGCCTGGGCTATTTTGAGTAATGCTGCTATGAACATGGAGGCCCAGATTTTGAGATCTTGATTTCAATTCTCCTGGATAATCACCCAGAAATGGGATTGCTGGATCCTGTGCTAGTTCTATTTTTACTTTTTTGAGGACCCTCCACACTGCTTTCTACAGTGGCTGCACCAGTCTGCATTCCCTTCAACAGGGTACAGGGGTTCCCTTTCCTCCACATTCTTACCAGCCCCTGTTGTGTTTTTTTTTTTGTTTGTTTTTTTTAAAAATAACAGCCATTCTGACAGGTGTGAGGTGATATGTCATCGTGGTCTTCATTTGCATTTCCCTGACTATTATTGGTGTTCCCCAAATTCACATACTGGAATCCTAATGCCCAATGAGATGGCATTAGGACGTGGGGCCCCTGGAAGTTGCTTAGGTCATGAGGGTGGAGCCTTCATGAATGGGATGAGCACTCTCATTAAAGGGACCCCAGACAGCGCCTGTGCCCTGCGCGCCGCGCGCCCTGTCAGGGCGCGGAGAGAAGTTAGCTGTCTGCAACCTGGGAGAGGACTCTCACCAGAACCCGGCCGTGCAGGCACCCTCATCTTGACCTTCTAGCCGCCAAAACCGTGAGAAATTAATGTCTGCTGTTGATAAGTCACCCAGTCTGTGGTATTTTGTTATAGCAGCCCAACCAGACTAAGAAAACTTCAGAGTAATTAGGGTAGGAGACAGCCCAGTCGGCTGACCCAGCCAACACCTCAATTCAGCCCGAGTCTTGAAGAGGGGCTGGGGATAGTGGCCGAGGGGGCCACGGGGGAGGGAGAAAGGCCGGTCTGGCAGCGCGTGGATGGAGAGGAGCAGCTGTCCTGGCTCGTAGTCCAGGGGGAGGCGCTGGGGAAGGGGTGGGTGATGAGGTGGCAAAAGGCAGGACCGATGTTTGGGAGCATGTGGGCTCTTGTCTTGGAAAGGTGCTAAGCTCAAGCTGCTCCTTCAAAGGGCCACAGGGTTCCAGAGACGGGCTGGTGGCCCAGCCCCAGAGGGGCCCTCGGAATGAGGCAGGGGATGAGGGGCGGCAATTCGGTCTGGAACAGATCCTTTTGGGGACACGGACACAGGGCCGTGTCCTGCAAGGCGGTGGCCTGTTGGAGAGCCCCGTTCTGTGGACACCCTCTTGCTCACATCACAGACACCTTCCTCTGGGATGAATTCAGTAGTTACTCCCACGCCCTGGGCTGCCATATATGGGGGGTGAGTACACGCCGAGTAAAGAATGCAGTTAGGAGGCTCCTTCAGTGCTGGGGGAGGTGGTGGCGAGGAGGTGGCCAGAGCAGGGCATCGGTGACAGACGCTGAAGACAAAGCCATCCTTGCTGGTGACGAGAGAGTGAGGGGAAGAGAGAAAGGACAAGGGGGACTCGTGTGCTTTCCTTGAGGCGGAAATGTCACTTACCAAACAGTCCGACGCTCCGGGGTAAGGTTGAGGCTGGAGACACAAATTTGAGGGTCACTAGGAAGAGATGGTTTTAAGGCCGTTGAGTGAGAACACTTGGCCCAACATTGGTCCTGAGTCTTGGTGACTCTTTGGGGGCTTTTTGCTATAATTGAAAACAGAGAAATGGGAAGAGTTGTAGGTTGGGTTGTGTTGCCCCAAAAGATGTTGAAGTCTTTACCCTGGTACCTGTGGAGGCGACCTTATTTGGATATAAGGTCTTTGCAGATGATTAAGTTAAGTGAGATGAAGTCATTAGCAGAGGCCCTACCCCAATGTGACGGGTGTCCTTATAAAAAGAGAAAGTTGGGACACGGAGGCAGACGCACACAGAGGGCAGTGACGTGGAGGACGCAGGGAGATGCCAGCCATCTGCAAGCCAAACCGAGGGGCCTGGGGCAGGTCTTCACTCAAGGCCTCGGAAACAACCAACCCAGCTGACGCCTTGGTCTTGGACTTCTGGCCTCCAGAGCTGTGAGGTGATTCGTTTCTGTTGTTTCAAGGGACCCGGTTTGTGGCACCTTGTCAGGGTAGCCCACGGGGGTAGGAAAGGTAGACGTGGGATTCCCCAGAGGTTTTTAAGGGAGGAGACAGAACGGCATATTTGTAAGAAAATGAGAGGGATCGCTGGTTGAGGGCAAAAGTGGGGGGTGTGTGAGGACAAAGGGGTGGCTCCTGGATGACCAGGGTCTCCGGGTTTTGGGCCTTCTCAGGCGAGGCCCACTCAGCCCCCCATCCCGCACCCCCACCCCGCCCAGGCCTGGTTGGGGGGCCGCCTCTCTGGAGGGCCCTGGAGCTCCCGTCCGGCCCCAGCCACACTCCCGGCTTTCCCCCTCTGGGCTCCGCGCACCGGGTTTGCGATCGCTCCCGTGGAGCGCCTGCGTCCCTGTCCTCCCCTGCCCAGCACGCTGCGAGGGACCAGGACTCGGGAGGGGAGCCCGGCCAGGGGAGGGACTGGGGAGCATGATTTGAACACATGAACGTGAAGTCCTTCTGGAGCGTTTGTGTCCTTAGGGCACTGGTTTTAGAAGTTGTTTTGGAAAATCAGTCCTGGCACGTTCCCGTCTCTCCACAGGCCAAGGCTGGGTTTGTCCTGTGCTTATTCAGTGCTGTGGGGGGCTATACATCTGCAGGCGCGCCACCGGGAGCTTTAAACCGGGGCAGACCCTGTGAACTGCGTAACCTGAGCGATCTACTTAACCTCCATGACCCGTGGTTTTTCCATGAGTCAGACAGCAAAGACCTGTGCTTTCGCGGCCACGCGGCTGCGGATGCAGTGGCCCCAGCTAAGCGCTCACGCAGGCACACAGCGCGGGTGCCAGACTGCGTGTGGGCTGCACGTGCAGGGCACCGTGACCGGGCTCCTCCGTGAAGAGCTGGCATGTGTGGGGGCAGAGAGGGGGCGGATTCAGTCGCGATGTGCTTTATTCTCAACTCTGAATTAAAAACATTTTAATTGTGGCAAAACACCCATAACACAAAATTTACCATCTTAACTGTTCCTAAGCCTATTAAACCCATCCAGCTTGTTGTGCAACCAGCAGCACCGTGCACCTCCAGAACCTTCCATCTTCCCAAGCTGAGATTGTGTCCTCATTAGACACTAACTGCTCCTCCCACCCCAGGCCCTGGGCACCCCCGTTCTACTTTCTGCCTCGATGAATTTGCTTACTCTGCATGTTTCATAGTTCATACAGTATTTTTCTCCTGTGACTGGCTTCCTTCACTGAGCATAACATCTGTAAGATTCATCCACATTGTATCCCTGTGTCAGAATTTGCCTCCATTTTAAGGCTGAATGATATTCCATTGAGTGGACAGGTGACACTTTTGTCTGTCCACCCATGGGTGGACACTTGGGTTGCTTGCACCCTTTGCTCATGGGAATAATGCTGCTCTGACATGAGTCTGTAGTCAGAACGCTGAATTTCATATTCTGGGTTCACCTACATACGTCCTGTCTTTGACTTCGGCTTTCTTGGTCCAGCGGTTAGACCCACTCAGGGCGCAAAGCTGGGCATTGCCCACGCTCCTGCGTGGACTGTGCCTGTTACCCGTCTGTAATATTCCCACGAGGCCTTTGCTGAGGGAGAGAGGCATTAAATAATTCAAGGTATTATGATGTTGGAGTCCGGCCGCTTTTTTGTTTTGTTTTGTTTTTACTAGAGGATCGTCTGCTTTATCTCCCCTTGACTTTTAAAAAATGCTGGCACTGTTTTTTGATTGAACATGAAGGTTTTTTTTTTTTTCTCTTTGACGTTTATACGACTGAAGGTGGAAAAATAAGGCCTTTGCTTATTAACAAGATGAATCAATCTCTCTCCCCCGGGGGAAACTGAAAACAATTTAGAGAACAGAGTAAACTTCAGATTTTCCTGTGATGTGAATTCCGTTGACCTTTCCTCGAGGTGAGATTTAGGGGAGACCCGGGGGGGCCCCACAGATGGTGACGGAGCCCTGTCAGCAGGTCTCCACCAGCCTTGCTCTCGCCTGCCCTGCGGCCTCTTGCAGTGTCCCAGTGACAGCAGCGTGGAGCCCAGCAGGGTCGGCCTAGTAGCAAAGGTCCCGTGGGAGCCTGTGCTCAACACAGAGCCCTTCATCCACTGCTCCGGACAGTCAGTTCTCAAGGGCCCTGGAGGTGTGTTGTTTGGTATCTTTCTTCCTTTTTACTTCGTATGTGCTATGCGTGTTTGGGGGAATTCCCCATAAGAATGGGAGCATGGTTAACACCTTCTTTGTCTGACTGGGTCACATGTTCCCCTCTTTGCAGATGGTAGCGGTTGGAGTTTCCAACCTGTGGGAGCTGGAGCCACTGCTGCTGGGGAGGTGGCCTCCCTGGGCTTGCCCCCCCTTCCCCGCCCCCACCCCCGTCTGGTGCTTGCCCAGGACTGGGCAGCTGAGAAGAGACAAAGCAAAGAGGCTGTGTCGGAAACAGGCCTGCAGAGCTGAGAAGAGGCTTAGAACCGTGGCCGGGAGCCAGCGCCTGCTCTCTCCAAGAATGCCAGGAATGCAGGGCCCAGGGAAGGGGACAAACAGAGGAAAGAGGGCAACAGAACATCGTGTCACCAGGGCGCACTCCCGGCCAGGCTAGTAGTCAAAACAAAGCAAAAGGACATGACGCTGAGCCCCCCAAAAAAGTGGATCAGAAAGCAAACATGATTGTTGCTAACATTTGCATTTATACTGGTAAACGTTGAGTAAACATCTTCAAAAGCAAATCTCTCAGTCATTTTAGTTTCCCATTTTTGGGCGAGGAAGCAACTTGGGCCTTAAGAGAAAGGATTTGCTAAGCGCACACAGGGAGTGGAGATAGAATCTCCTGTTGTCAGTGAACTGCTTGGGGTTGGTGACTTGCTTCCCAGTTTAGTCCAAGTTCATGACAAAGGACACAAGGTCAGAGGGTACACTGTGGGGGAGCAAAACAAAACAAAAACAGGAAGTGGCCGGCTCAGGGATTTTCCATGGGAAGGCTGGGAAACATGTCCAGATATAGGAGGAAAAGGAAGAGAAAGGAGACCTCTGAATCTTCTGGAAGCTGCTTGAGCCGTTGGGGGGTGGGGTCCCAGCCGGAAGCAGCTGAATGGAGGTGTGGAGGGCTGGGCTCCCCGGCTGGGACCTCGGTATGTACCCCGGGGCCCACACTCGGCACCAGCTCATCCCTGGCATGCCAGCGGTTTCCCACGGCCTCCCTTCTCTCGGAAGGAGAGCGTGTCACCTCTGTGTCCCTTAGAGAGGTGTGGTCACGCGTGTCTTAATGCTGAAGCGTGAAAAGAGGTCTGAATAACCCAGAAAATGTATCCCACCTCTAAGGGCTTCATGTATATGGACACATGGTGCTTGGAACTATTGTGAAAAAATGGGAAAACATGTGTTCTACCTACCTCTCACTTCCAGGACTTTTTGCTGCCAGAATTTGGAAAGGGCGAGGCCCGAGATGGTGGAGGGGGGGTGAGGCTGAGGGAGGCTGCCCTGCGGGGCTCCCAGGGTGAGTCCCGCCACCCCCTCCCACCTCTAATGGGGGCAGGGGCTGCTGTGTCTCCCTGTCTGCCTCCTCAGAGGTGGGGGGGCTCTCCGGCAGGGTGGGGTGGGTCCTGGGGGGGTCGGGCAGAGGGAAGGTTCCCCGTTGCTGTTTGTGAATCTCAGCTTTCGTGGGGGAGCAGAGGCAGGTGTCCTGTTCTGGGCAGGGCCAGCCCTGCCCCTCGGGGCCGCCTCGGGGCCCTGCCGGAGGCTCGGTGTGTACTTCCTGACTTCAGTCCAAGAGGTTCTTTGCCAACAACAGGAGGGGGAAAAAAATCCCCCGTTTCTTCCTGGCCATGTTCTGTTTTGAGATCTTGTTTTAGTACCTACTTAATCAAGGAAGTCAGAATTTTACGTGAAAAGAGAAGAATGTGTCAGCGTGTTTCTAACACAGTGTATGCAAATGAGCCAGCAAAGTATTTTGCAGGCAGCCGCCAGAGGTCAAAGGTCACCCTCCACGGTCAACAATTATTTTGCTTAAAATAAACAGGCAAGCAGGACTGCAGGAAATGAGTTGCAGCAACCTTAACTCATGTGTGAAAGTTTCCAATTAAGAATTCAAAGAACTTGTTGTTTAATGAAAAAGTGAAATGAATTCCTTTTTTGTGTTTTTTCACTTCCTTGGTGGTCCCTGGCTAAGAGCTGGACCTGCTGGAGGAACAGGGCTCGCAGTCAGCTCCCCCGAGAGAGGGCGTGTGGCAAGCAGCCACAGGACCCGAAGCAGGATCTCATGTACGGGAAAGGTTGCTGAACAGATCTAGTTTGGGGGCTGGCAAACTACTGCCTGGGCCCAATCTGGCCCCCAGGCCGTTTCTATAAATAAAGTTTTATTGGCACACAGCGCGCCCATTTGTTTGTGTACTATCTATGGCTGCTTTCCCAGTATGAGGGCAGAGTTGAGACCAGAGAGCTTGAAGAGCCTGAATATTTCCTCACGATCCATGCGATTATTGTTCTACGGCTTTGGATATAGACCTCCAAGATTATTGTTAATGGTTCTGTAGTATTTTATCAAATGTACTATAATTAACTGCTCGATCACATCTGATTGTTTAGTTTCTTTTTTTGTATTTATCACATTGTGATGGTCTTTGTACTTTGTGCATTTTCCTGGTAGTATTGCTAAGGATACATTTCTAGCCTTGAAATTAAGGGGTCAAAGGTGACTTAGTAATTGTAATGCAGGGGGTCAACCTGCCTCAGGGGATGCATAAAGCTTCGGGTCCTAACAGGACAGGGCAGGATCCACTTCCCACTCTCTGGCCAGCACTGGCTGCTGCCATTGCCAATATTTAAAGTTTTGGTCAGTCTGATAGGTTAAAACTGATGTGATTGTGTTGTGTCGATTTGCATTTCCCAGATGGTTTTACTTGTGAATGGCGCGGTCTGTGACCACACAGAGGCAAAACGATGATGTCATACGAGGGCCCCCTTCTTCCGTGAGGAGCCAGCAGCCAGGCTCAGGTGAGTCCGATCCTCCATTGATTTATCCATTCACAGACTCGCTGGCCACTGCATTGGGGCACTTGATGAATGGCATCTAGAAGGCCCACATGGTCCCGGTCATAAAAGGGGTGACATTTGTATCATGACCGCGAGGCTGCTTGCAGGCAGAGAGCCGACTCCGTTGACCGGCGGCGGCCCTGCTCCGGCCGCATGCACCTGGCCGCACCTCCCTTGGTCCCGAATGGACCTGCCCATTCTCTCCCTCCGAGGACTGGAAGACACAGCTTCGCTTTAGACAGCGTAACCAAGAAAGCCGCTAGGAAAGTCCGAAATGCCGAATGCTGCCCATGACTCAGAGTGAGGGTGGGTCGGAGAGGAGACGGTGGGAAAGTGGGGTGCCCGGCCTGGCAGCCCCGTCCGGCGGCCTCGGCTGTGGCCTCGTGCCACGATGACCAGTGGGGCCAGGGAGGGCTGCAGCGGCGAGCCGCGCCTTTTAGGTCCGGCCTGCCGTGGTTTCCTGCCTCGCCGAGTGGCCGTTGCTGCGCGGTGATGATTCATGGTGTTTGGAAAGCGTGTCTGTGTCTGAGCAGGGAAGTGAGAAGTAAAACAGCCAAGGGCAGGGCCGGGCAGGCCGGGGCTTCACGAGAGCGAAGCCTTTCTCCGGAAAATGCAGGGGGCTGGGGAGCCGCTGTGAAGTCGGGGGCGGCGGCTGACACTGCACAAGTGTGGCCCTGATGCTCTTCCTCAGGGCATCGGCTTTTCCAAGTGACAGTCACTAAGCTGCCCCTCGGAAGCGGCGGCTGGCCCTGGCTGAGCTGCTGCGGGCGGGAGGAAGAAGACGGGTGATTCAGTGAGTGGTGGCTTCCTCTCTGACTCAGGGTTGAATCCGTTTCTTTGGGCGTTGCCAGAGGGCCCATGTGGCTTTAGCGAACTTCTTTGAACTAGGAGTCAAAAGGGAGGCTCTGACCCCTGAGGTTGCTGGCCCTCCTGTGACCCTTTTGGGTGAGCGAGGGGATTGAGCTGGATTCCGTGGCCCCCCTGCAAGCTGGGGGGGGAGCCTGCAAGGAGGGGGGGAGCGCTCCTGCCTTAGGCCTTCGTGCATCCCCGTGGAGGGAGCCGGAACGTGGGAGCTGGGGTGTGTCCTGCGTCCGTGCCTGCCTTGGAGGCTCCCTCGGATTTGGGAGCCATATTTGGGCGAGCTGCTGGGCTCCGGGGGGCACAGCCTGGGCAGATGTGACGTGACAGAGCGGACAGCTGCGCCAGCCCTCCTGGAGTCCCTTTGTCCCCTTGACCAAGAGCACGGCGGGCGGGGGGCGGGGGGCGGCCGCCACCTTCCCTCCTGGGGCCGCGATGGCTTTCCAGTCCAGAACACCCCGTTTTCCAGGGTCCATTGTCAGTGTGCTGCCGATGGCTGTCACCTGACACCCGTTCTTATAAGCAACACTTCAATTATCCAGATAATTGCCTCTGCCCATGAGAAATGGTCAGAAAAGTGTTGACTTGGTAAAAATTTTGACATCTCAGAGTTGCGACAGGGTTGCTGTATTCCATGCCCTAATAACCTTGCAGGCTGGTCTGTTCTTTCAGGTCATTTCTGTCCCGCCTCCTTCCTGCCCCCGGTCCCCTTGTGTTTCCATGGCCAGCGCAGAGGTCAGCCGGTCCAGCTCAGGCAGGATGGCTGCCAGCCAATTGTAAGGGTTTTAATGAGACTCTATTATTAGCCACATGCCAGAGAAATGCAACTCCAATGAGTGGGGGCCTCCAGGAGGGGCTCTGTGTGGCCACTGTGGGCGGAAGGGGCTGCGAGGACACCCTCTGCGGGGACCCGGCCCTGCCTGGTGCTCTCGCGTGTCTCACACCGTCTTCCACCGGCCTCTCATTTCAGTGCTGTGGGTGAGCCTTCTCCACATGGCAGGGAAGGTGCCCCCCGGCCGCTTCTGCGCATCACTCCTCACAGCTTCCTGGCCAGAGGGACCGAGAGCGCCAGCCGCAGGGCGAGGCTGTGACGGCCCTCCCCGGGGCCAGGGGATTGTCACTGGCTCAGTCCCTGTGGCCGGGGGAGGGTCTCTGAGCCAATGGCAGCTCACATCTGGACCCTATGATTAGTGCAGGGAGGGAGGATTTTCTAGAAGAAGGGACCCCTGTCCTAGGCAGACCGATATCAGGCCACCAGCCCTGGGGCCGCCACGCAGGCTGCGCCCTGGGCCCTCCACTGCCTCCCCTGCGCCGGCCGCAACGGGCACAGCTTGGGGACGTGCCTCTTCTGTCCTAAAGCCCAGTGCTTGAGAACCCAAAAAAGATGGGGCTTCCCTCAGCTATGCCTTTCGGGGATACATGTCTGGGGTGCAGCTGTGTGCTTTTCTGAGCAGATGCCTTGGAGGATCTAAGCGCCGAGGGAGGGAAGAACAAAGGAGCCATTCTCAGAAGCGTGGTGGCAAAAATGAAACCGACTAAAAACCCCATAAAAATCCCTCCGAGGGCAGAGGAAATACCAGCTCAACGCTCTGAGCCACATGCTTGTTTGCAAAGCAGAGATTCAAGGGTAGGCCTTCTTGAGCCATTGTGCCCGCCCAAGGGCGCCTGTACTGGCTCCAGGTGGGGGGAGGCCCACTGGTGCGTGTAGTTGTGCGTTTGGCGTGTGCTGTTCCCCACAGCTGACCAGTGACCAGGGCTCAGGGGGGCCTGGAGGACGGGACGGGAACAGGCTCAGAGCTTACGCGTGCAGCAAGATCAGATGGCCGTCAGCTGGCCGGCCCCTGCCAGCACCGAGGGACCTCCCTGCAGTCACAAAAATACCTGCTTGGAAACGCCTTTGCAGATTGATTAAGTAAACACTCGCGGTGCAGCTGAGAACAGCCGAGTGGCAGCCGGAGCGTTCGCAGGAAGTGGGAGAGCGTGCTGCCGGCGAAGCCCGCGGGTCGGCCGCCTCTCTGTTCCTCTCGCTCGGCTCCCTCGCCACGGCTGCAGTTTCGGGCTCAGAGAATGTGTTATGGGGATGGACTTGAGGATGCGGACACTTTCACTCTCATTTTACGCGTCTGACAATATCTCAGGGACCGAGCATCATCACCCTGTCACCACACAGCAGCTGGCTGTGGCCTGTGGCAGGTAGCCTCGCACAGCGAACCTTGGGTGCTGCTCACGGGGGCTCTCCATCTGGTTTGCGGCCTTGGGCTGCTGTTGTGACCCACAGCGGAGTGTGTTGCCCCGCCCCCGCTCAGGGAGTTCAGGGCCAGCATAAAGTAGAGCTTGCTTTTCATCCGGGGGCGGGGAGGGGTTGCACCTCTGTGATGGGGCTTCTGCTCTCACTTTTGGCCGATGGGACAGGGGCTGGCCAGGCTTCCCTGGGCGTGGAGCAGTGGCCCTTTGCCGCTGGGCTTCCCTCATGACCTCTGACACCCCGCTGCAGATGGCGGTGGGCAGGAGCGGCAGGCTCCAGGCTCACGTACGCTTCAGGGCTCGGTGTGCTTGTGTGTTCGGCGCCTTGGCCTCCAGGACCCGTTCCAACATTTGCCTGTCAATTCATTCATCATTGATCCATCAACTTACCCATTCACTGGGGCTGCCATTGAGTCATTCAGTCACGTGAGATTGTCTTCTTATCTCTCATCTCTACTGTCAGGCACAGGGCCAAGCCCCAGGCAGGGGTTCTGCTAACTCTGCTGACTCCTCTTCCTCCTTCACTGTTGTGATGGTTGAAGTCCTAACCCCCAGCGCCTCAGAATGGACTATATTCAAACACAGGGACTTGAAGGAGGCAATTCAGTTAAAATGAGAAAACTTTACGTTAAAATGAAGTCTTAATGTAATCAGACGGGTGTCCTCATAAGAAAAGGAGATTAAGATACAGACACACACGGAGTGAAGGCGATGTGAAGACACACGGAGAAGACAGCTATAGACACACCAAGGAGGGGGCCGGGAACCTCAGAGGAACCAGCCCTGCCAGCACCTTGGTCCTGGGCCGCCAGGCCCCCGGAGCTATGGGGAAGTACATTTCTGTCGTTTAAATTGCTCAGTCTGAGGTCCTTTGCTGCGGCAGCCCCAGCAGACTGAGGGCACCTTTAAGCACATCACGGAGCATGAAGCCACGCGCAAACTGTTCTGGGAGGCCTGCGGGCTTTTCTAGAGAATACGGGAAAAGGGGAACAGCGAGGGGCTCGTGCTTTCGTCACACTTCTCCCGAACCCCTCCCTGCTCAGCCCCTCCTTACCTCTACCCCCCAAGGCGAACAGGAACTTCAGAGGAAGTGAAACCGAAGGCACCCCAGCAGCTGCCGCACTGCAGAAGCGCCTGTGCGGATGGAGCCTTTCAGATCCAGGAGCTTCATTCTCCCCCCCACCCCCGCTGCCTCTTTGCCCCACAGGGTCTTACTCAGTGCCTGCGTGTGCGCGCACACGGCCCTGTGCCTGCGTCTCTCAGGAGGGCTGGGGTCTGCAGCTGGGGCGCACACACCACGTGTCTCCAGCCCCGGCATCCTGGACGGGGCTGGAAGAGGCCAGGATTAGCCGGTCTCTGGACCATGAAGTACACCCCTTGTTGCCCTTTGTGACTAAAGATGATGCCAACATTGTGTTTCCACACAGCTGGGAGGACCGGCCTTTGATTTGTGGCCCTGGCCGCTGGCTGTGGGCTGTGATCGCTTTGTCTGCAGGAATCACGAGCTCATTTCATCACGGAATAATCTTGAAATGTCTGGGAACGTCTCTGAGCCTTCGGACCTGTTGGCCCTTGTAAGAAGCCAGACCCATTTTCAAATGCCCAGTATATGGGTTTAAAAAAAAAAAAAGATTTTATTTATTTATTTTCAGAGAGAGGGGAAAGGGGTGGAGAGAGGGAGAGAAACATGAGTGAGCTAAAGAAACATTGATCAGTTGCCTCTTGCATGCCCCCAACTAGGGACCTGGCCCGCAACCGAGGCATGTGCCCTGACTGGGAATCAAACTGGTGACCTTTTGGTTTGCAGGCCAGTACTCAATCCACTGAGCCACACCAGCCAGGGCCCAGTATGTAGGTTTTGATATTCCTCATTTGTCTACCATTTCTGCTCAAAGACATTTTCCACCACACAACCGAATAATAATCCTGTTCCCTTAGGCGCTCCTTTTGCAATCCAAGCTTAGCTCATTGATTTTAAAGGGAACCGGGAGTGCAGGAGCTCGGTGTTGTCCAACTGGTCCCCTGTTGCATAGTACACAGTCCCCAAAGGACTTTGGCAAAGACATTATTGTCCACGTGATTGCAATCAATTTCTGTGTGCATGCTTGGGAGGGAAGTTCGCACACATGTTCACTTGTACTGATAGTGGCATTTTCTGAAATGTGGTGGCATTTATTTCTTCCTTTAATGTTGATGTTAAAACAAGCTTCCTTTCTTTTCTACACGCAGACAGATGACCATATTCCAGGGATGGACTGAGGGCTCACACAGCAAGAGCGTCACAGAGCTGCGGTGAACAGGGCCCCTGCTGCCCACTTCCTCCTGCAGAGCCTTCCCTGCTTGGCCCTTGTCCCTGCCCTCTTCCCCTTTGCTGCCCACTTATTGCCACGCAGAGTTCCCCATGGGATGAGACTGGAGGTGCGCCCTCCTCTGGAGGTTGCTTACATTTTAAATGAGTGACGGCTGAACAACTCAGGTCTCAAAACCCCAAGAAACGACCTTCTGATGCTCGATGAGAGCCAAGGGTTTCCTCCGGGGCAGCCGGGTCTGTTTCGCTTATTCAGAGGAACGTGCCGTGGTCAGGCTGGCTCGAAGTCCAGTGCCTCCAAGTCCCCCTTCCTTGGTGTGTGTCTGTTTGAGGCAGGTGCCTTCTCCTCCAGCCAAGGCCACAGTGTCACTCAGGATAGGTACTGTGTCTCTTGCTGCAAGTGGAGACTGACCTGGGCCCTTGGCGCCACCTCTCTGCCGTGCCCCCAGCCTCGGAGCTCTGTTTGTTAGCCAGCAGATAAGAAAAGGCAGCCTGGTGTCCTTTCTTTCAGACCCATGCCCTCTCTCTCCTCCTTTGACTTCATAAATATCGGTTACCATGCCTGTGTTTTCAATGACCTGGTGACTTCCGGCTGCTCCAGCCAATGGGGATGGGAGCTGCGATCCTTAGATAAAAGGCTTTGTGGGGCATGACTCATCCTTGGAGACATCTAACTCGCTTGGCTGTTGTTAAGTGCCTGGTTCTGTAAATATTGACAGTTAGAAACCATCCCAAGAGCTACCAGGCAATGATCTGGAAGGTAATGTGTATGAATATGGCCAGGGATTAGGCAACACTCTTCCTTTGCTACGATGCAGCCACTGATAAATATCACCCCATTATTTCTCTTCCCAATAGTGGCTTGACTGCTTGTGTGTGACTCATGGTTGGGAGGTGACGGGGTCTGATTCAGCAAGGAAAGTCTGGTCTGCTGCAACAGAGAATGGCTTCCCAGGCCACCCCGGGCTCTAGGTTCCTGGGTTCTTAACAAGCTTGGCTTTGCCAAGGAGGAATTTGCTCAAAAGCAGTTTCCATCCCTAAGATACTAAAGAAGGCACGGGGCAGGGGGTGGTGGGAGGGAGGCTAAGGAGCAGAACAATGCTGCTCACCCTTCCCAGCCGATGTTTTCACACCTACTGGCCCCGTGGGCACATTTACGTTACAGTTCACCTGTGAGCGCCCCTCCACCTGGGGCAGCCTCTCCATTCAAGTCAACGCTGCCGGGCTTGTGGGGGCTGCTCTCCGGGGAGGGACAGGATACATCTCTGCTCATGCAGAAATGGGTTTTGTCTCCTGCCCTCCCTTTCTAACTACTTAAAATGAGTGTATCGCCACCCAAATGTACACAGATGCTTTCCGATGGGTTGACTGCTTGGTTTATGGAGTGTTATTTTTGGGCAGGAACTTCCCATCTGAGTCACGGTCCTTTTGAATGGCTCTGGTCTATTTCCTTCGTTGCTCTGGGCTGAGGGTCCAACCAGCCAAATCAGAGCTTTTCAATGGGCAGGTTTTGAACACGAGTCTTTGGTAGCCTGGTGTGCTGGCTAACGGCGTTGCCCTTGGTCGAGGGGGTGCGCCCTTGTCTGTAGCCCCCCGCAAAATCACTTGGCGTTTACCGTGTTGCCCTGTCCTGAGGCCTGAGACCCGCCGGTACTGGTGCACCGGGAGTCTGCGCCACCGGAGGTGGACGCGTCACTGGGCAGGCAGGGAAGCAGGCGTCCCCTCCAGGGAGCCACCTCTGCCACGACTTGCCTGTGTGGCTTCGGGCAGGTTACTTACGTGCTCTGAGCCTCAGATTCCTTATTCGTCAAATGAGGATAATAGTTCCCACCTTGCCGGGCCAGTGTGAATCAAGATAATGCGTTTAACACACATGAATCGTAAAAACTGCTCGGTCGGTTGTAGTCAGTGTTGTCTTTAGCACCAAGCTACTGTGAAAATGGATGCTGCCGGCAATTTGGGTTGATATGGATTCGAATTTTGAAGGATCTGCTCAAAGTCTGAGGGTCTATATGCATCGCCTCAGCCCTTCAAGAAGCCATTATCCTCATGGTACAGAGGATGAGCCCACGGCTCCGGCATCCAGCCGGTCAGGAGTGGAACCAAGTGTCTCTGGCCGTGGAGCGCATGCGCTGACTGTTACCTGTGCCACCTTCCAGGGACTCGGAGGCGTTTAGCAGAGACTGGCCCCTTGATGTGTGGGGAGGACACGTGGAATCCGCTTTGTCTTTGCATCCACGACCCAGGCACAGACTGGTCTGTGAGCTGTTAGCCAAACGGCTTGCCAAGTCCGTGCCCAGCCACATGGCAGTGGCTCTGTCCTTTTGCCCAGGTAGATCACACACCTGCCAAGTGTTGTTCTGGGACCTGTTGACAGTCCTTATATTTAATGGAACGTCAGTGGGTGGGTGGTGGGAACCCAATCTGCTGGGATGCGCGGGGTGGCTGAGGGTGGGGCCAGGGACCTGAGTAGTGGGAAGCAAGCTCAGGCGGACGATCACCCCGCTGGGCCCCGGGGACACAGGCTGTGTTCAAGCAAGAGCTCTTCCCCTCGGGGCCCACCCCGCGGAGACCACCGTCCTCCCTCCGGTGAGCCTTTCCCACAGCTAACAGGATTTACACGCGTGCCCACGCGGAACACATTACTGAATGTACATCTGGGGTCTAAGGGCCATGTGGAGGTTTGAAATAAAGGAAACGAATGCAGCAGAGCGACGTGCAGACCTTGAAGGAGAGAGAAGTCCCTTGAGGTGGCCAAAATGAGTGAGCTGTGTCTCCCGGAGAGGAAATGTGAGGTGCAGGACAGGATTCCTGTCCTGCGGGGGTGTCCCCGAGGTACGGCTCCACCCCGTGAAACTTTTGCTCCTTGTTCTGCTCTGACAGGTGAGAGGGGTCCGCAGGCCCACCAAGGATAGGCCCCTTGGTGTCACTTCTGCTAACCCAAGCCCCTTACTGTCCTAGAAGCTTGGACCGTGCTCCCAGGCAGCACAAGGCTGGTCCCCGCAGAGCAGACGTGGGGCTCACGGGGCTTCTTCCGAAGGCCTGGTGCTTCTGAGGGAGGAGGGACAGCAGAGCAGAGAGAGGCGGCCAGTTACTGCTGCCTGGATGGCAAAGCTTCGTCCTGCCCTGGGGTCTCTCCCCACCAGTCAGCAGGGAGGAAGGGGCCCCTCTCAGCAATGACCAATGGAGGCAGGAGTGACTGGACGGCAAGATGACGCAGGCAGGGCTGCCGTAAGGCCCACCGTGGCCGACTTTGGAGACACGCATGGGTCGCTCCCGTTGCAGGCCTGCTTCTAAGTCCCCCTGAATCCTGGGGTCCAGGGCTCTCTTCTTCGCTGCCCCAAAGAGCTGACAAACCCTCAAGCTAGTTCCTGCCTCCTGCCAGTGCCATGAGAACTAAACAAGAGGATGCTGTGCAGATACTCTCAGTATCTGGTACGTGGGACGTGTTTAATACATGTCATCTAATGTTGTTATTGTCACTGAGGCTTACGTCAGACTCCTGGTTTGCGTTTACACTTTAGAAGTCTGTTCCCTTTCAAACCAAATGGTTTTTATCCCAGACATGCTCCCACCCCCACCTCCTCACTTCCCAGGAAGTTCGGGCTTTTTGCTCCTTTTGTGTTTTAACCACTTCATTCCTTTTATCCATTCACGTGCATGTTCAGCCATCCTTCCAACATTTCCGCTTCAGGTCTGCCGAGTGCGCTCAGCCTGTGCTATGGCTGAAGGGCAGTTACCCGCCCATGACACTCCGTTCGCAACTCCCTCCCCCTCCCCCGCCAAACACACTCAGGATTCTCTCTTGGGGTCCAGGGCTCCTTTCCGAATAGATTCGTGTGACCTCACTAGGTTTTTCTGCGCGTTTTTTTTTTTTTTCATCGCCAACGTGCTTTTCACAGGAACGTCACGCTGCAGAGAGCGTTTGGAGGCTCCGATTTACAAAGTGCTCCCTGTCCCTGGGGCCTCAGAGGCCCTGCTCTGGGGAAGGGACGAGGGAGGCGCCACCGCAGCCCAGGCCTGCTCCCCACCCCGCCTCCGCTGCCTGGAAACTCGCTTCCTGACACGAGGTCTGGGGCACATTTTTGCTTTTAAAGAGCTTCCTCAGACAAGGCAGGACCAGGTCAGGTTACTCTCAACACCAAGTGGTCTTGCTGAGGCTGCAGGGCAGCAAAGAGCCACGGAGGCATTGCCCTCGCCACCAACGCGCCACCAACGCGCACCACGTGACTGCCGCGGCCTGCCAGGAACTGCGCCTGGCCCTGCTGAAACCCCGGGGCCACTGGGAACAAGCCGAAGGGGAAACAAAAATACCGCGGGGTCAGGCTGCAAACGCTGACCTGGCCTTGGAACCCTTGTTCTAGAGCAGCAGTTTTCATCCTTCGTCATATCACGGCACACATAAACAAATCACTAAAATTCCGCAGCACGCCACAAGCATGCATATATATATATATATCCTGGCCAAAAACAAACAAAACAAAACCAGGTATAATTTTGATTCATTCACACCAGACAGCTATGGTTGTGTTGGCTGTTGTCATTTTTTATTTGACAAACTAAGGGAAAAGAGGTCAGTGCCACTGACTGACTAGTCAGGTATTGAGTGTTCTGAAAATCCATGGGGCGCACCCATTGAACATCGCTGTTCTAGGTCCCTCTGCACTCACACGGGCAGCTCCTGCTGCCTCTGACGAGTGGAGGTGGAAGGTGTGGGTGGTGAGGGGCCCCGGGAGGGGCCGGATGGAGTGGGGCAAGGCCTCTCCGGGAGACTATTTCGGGCGCGCAGACAGACCGTGTTCTGTGCCACCGCCAGACGAGGAGGAATGCGCCCTGGTGGCTCCTGTTTACTTTCCAGCTGCCTCTCCCCTCCTCCCGGGTCACATGTATTTTTGGCTTGCCAGTTTAGCCGGTGGCTGAGTGTTCCCCGAATTTTCGAGTCCGTGAGCTATGCTGCGAGACTACGAGCCATTTTCCAGAGCTAACCCGTGTCATCTGTCTCCTTGACAGAGGGGAAGAGAGGAGGGAGGAACAGGAGGCGAGTGTGGGCGGAGAGGGAGCAGGCGGGGCCACAGACGCGGGAGAGCGACATCTTGCTGACGTCAGGCCGGGCTCCCGCCCCCGGCTAACAGCCACCCAGCAGCCCGTTTTGAAACCTGTAGCCTGCAGCCTGTTGTTTTGTTTTGGGCTGCTCTCCCTGGACCAAAGGGCCATTAATCGCGGGGCGTTTGAAAGCTACCTGATTCCCTGAAACAGAGGGGATTTCCATGAGTCATATCTCAGCCCGCGCTGGGGCGGGGCGGGGCGGGGCGCGGAGCGGCAAGACACTTCCAGCTGCAGCTGGCCCGGGACGAGGGCGCGGGACAGGCCGTCACGTGGCCAGTGGCTCCCGGGGCGGGCGGCTCGGTCCCGCCCCCTGCCCGGCAGCCCGCGCGTCCGCGCGCGCCCCCCACCCTCACTTGCCCTCCCCGCCCAGCGGGCCGGAGTTCACCGTGCCCCTGCCAGTCCTGCAGGAATCCACCGCGCCCCCGCGCCGTGCACGCGCCCTCTTCTGTCCCGAGGCCGCTTCCGTGCGGCCCGCGCTGGCTGCGCGGGGTCACTGCAATTCTCCGGCGCACGTAGTAACCTCTTTCTTGGGAAATGTCGCATCTCGAGGATGGGGGCGGCCTTATCTCCTAAGCTCCCGCAAGACAGCCTCCCTTTCGTCGCATTGGCCGCCCAAGGCTGCCCTTTGAAGCCGTGACCCCGCTTCCCAGAAGCACCCCCAGCTCTGTGGTCTAGACCCCAGGGCCTGTTTACAAGTAAGATCGGAGTTGGCGTGTGTAACCGGAG